ATACAACCCCTCGAATGACTCAACCAATCCAAACAGTCATCTCAATGCACCACCGTTCAAGACACCTGCAACTGATTAAGGTTTCGCAGTCTATAATCACTGATATTGCCAACCTCAGACATCCCTTGTGGCTGAGAGACTGCGGGACATTTAGGGATTAATTAAGCTTTGAATATTCAAACTGTGTTACACATACCCATATCCCTGTTCCCACATTTAAATTTACGTCAGACTTGCCTAGAACCATGGCAACTCAAGAAATCCTTTTTTGATCACTTACCATTTCTTTCCGTTATTGTATTCATTCGAGTATTTTCAAACGTGGATGCAAATATCGACAATTCTAGACTATCTGGATTATTCAGATAAATACTACCTATAAATTTAAGATCATATAAGATGTGGACACTGGAAGTGGATTCGGTAGTATAACATGAAGCCAACAAATTAAGAACCAGTAATAATGATCACATTAACGTAATACTACAAAACAACTAAGCAGGAAATTTACGTTTTGCTGGACAACGCGAAGCACTATCACTCCAGCACTAGGAATCTTTTGGTCAGACCATAAGGTTTCATGACTTGGTCTCACTTTATACATGGTTTAATAAACGACTTGGCATGCGCTGAATCAACCCAGTTTACATTCATTTTAACAGAAATTCCACATTAAACAAAAATGCTAAGTGTCAAGCGTGGGAAAGCGCCAGTGAACCAGTTAGGAAACCTATAACTAGATTTGTCGATAGTAACTTAACACCTAGAATTCATCATGAGAAAGTATCGACAGTCAGTTAGTCAGCTACAAAATAGGACCAGGCACATATATGCATCGGTCCAAGTTTCCATGCCACAGTAGCACAAGCAAGATGAACACCGGATTCATAAAAGTAGTTAATTTAGAGGTGGTAATATTATAAAAAATTTCATATAAGGATATAGTACAGGAAGAAAGAATTAGTTCGTAGAAAGAAAGATATAAATTGATTTTAACCTCATAGTTGAAAGAAAGGTAAAGAGTGTATGCACCGACGCCATTGTGATCGATTCTGAGCCATGTCACCAAGAGTCTCCAACCATCGGTTACGATAGTCACGTGGACCCCAATCAAGTAGTCTGCATCTACCAACATGGCTCAGAATAGAGGTTAGTGTCTTCAACCACTGATGCCACGTTTTGGTTTGGCCACCCCTAATTCTCTTCCAACCATCTCTAACACCCGTTAGCATTGCACGACGTGGTAATCGGTGTTCGGGCATACGTAACACATGGCCCAACCATCTGTCTATGAAGATCCACAACCTCATCAACTGATTTACCATCATTACCTAATACCCTGCGTCTAACCTCACTATTGCTTACCCGGTGATCTCAGCAGACGCCAGCAATATTTCTAAGGCATTTGTGGTCAAGTATTAGTAGCTTACGGATGTCTTCTACTCTTAAAGGCCATGTTTCGTTGCCGTAAATTAAAACAGAATGGACTCGTCCTTTTATTGATAGACGGATATCTCGCCTTCGTCATAGGTGACATAAGTTGACAAAAGCCAAGCGAGCTCTTCGAATCCGTGCTGAGATTTCGTCAGACACCAACCCATTAGGGCTGATCAGACTTCCAAGATAAGTGAAGTTGTCAACGCGTTTGACTACTTCACTCCCTATCCTTAGTTCAGGTGTTGACGCAGACCAGTCCTGAAGCAGCAGCTTGCATTTAGAGGGAGAAAAGCGCATTCCAAACATTATGGCATTGTTGCTTAGTGCTACCAGAAGACTCTGCGTTTTAACAGCGTCTTCACCAAACAAGACTATGTTATGTGTATTCTAAGTCGATAAGTGGACCTCCTGAAAGGAGATCAATACCCCAGAATTCAGTCGACGAGAATGTTATTTCCATCAATAAGTCTATGATGAAGTTAAACAAAAATGGAGGAATTGGACAGCCTTGACGGACACCACTTGAGGTTGCAAAAGCAGATGACAGTTCGCCATAAGCTCTACCTCGACTGGTAGTGTTCGAGTAAAGAGCCTTCAAAAGGTTTATTTACTTCTGAGGTACGCCTTTCAATGACAGACACTGCCACAGAATCTCGCGATCTACCAAGTCAAATCCTGCTTTTACGTCAAGAAAGACCACCATTGTCGGACGCGGAGAAGTATGTCTATGTTCTAGAACCTGAAGAATGGTGAATATGTGGTCGATGCAGCCACGACCAGGTCTGAAGCCAGCTTGATCCTCTCGTGTTTGCAGTTCACGAGTCTTAGTTAGGCATCTGGTAATTATCGAAGCTAGTATTCTAGATACTATATTAGTTAAACTAATCCCTCTATGGTTGTCTTAGGATGTTTTTAACCCTCTCTTATATATTGGGACGATAAGTGATTGTGACCAGTCAGATGGGATAACGTCTAACTCCCAGATCTTAGCTAAAATATTAGTCAACCTAATCGCTAAAATTGGACCACCAACCTTAAAGACCTCTGGAGCCAATCCCTCTGGACCAGCTGCCCTTCCCCGTTTCAGATTAACTATAGCCTTTTGAACTTCTGCTAGAGTTGGAGGACCTACTTCAATGTTCCATTCACACTGTCTGGTAATGGAGGGTCGCTGAACTGTTCCCTAAAATGTTCCGCCCATCGTTCTAAACGTCTGGACTGGTAGCAGATAAGTGTCGACTTTTTCTGAAACAGTCTGACTTACACTTGACTTATTAGTTCCAGTTTCTTTTATTAGTCTGTAAAGCTGTCTTGTGTTCCCTATAGCCGCCGCCTTTCCCATCTCTTTTGCTTTCGTTGCCCACCACTGCTCACGGTCGTTCCTTAGACTTTTGCTTAACCTAGATCTGATTTCTTTACGCTCTTCATCGTGTTCTGAACCTGATGGGATGAGTTTACGAGAATCCATCAGTGCAATAGACCTTGAAGAAATCCATTGGTTCTTTGTGACCCTGTGGTTTAAATCACTGGTAGATGTCACTGCTGTTTCCGCAACTGCTTGTATAGCTTTCCAGGCAACATCTGGGTCAGCCTCGTTTTCAGAACTACCTAAGTGTGACCTCAGTTGTTCCTGGAACCTACTTTTGGTTTTCTCGTTACTCAACTCAGTTCTAATTGGTCTTTTTATTGTGGCTTTTGTGCGTCCAGTGGGGCGCAAGACGATTCGTGCCCACATTAGGGCGTGGCCGGAGTTCAAGCAGGTACTCCAGAATGAGCGACAATCTTCTACCGACCCTCTCCAACGATGACTGATGGCAATATGGTCTATTTGAGTCCATCGTTGGTTTGGTGTAGGGGATCGCCATGTTAGACGATGTCTCTCCTTATGCTTAAAATTTGTGTTTGCTAAAAATAAACGATTGTCTGAGCATATTTGCAGCAGACGACCACCATTATCGGAATACTAAAATACCCACCTAAATGTCGGGGAAAGTATCGACAGTACAAAAGAAAACCCTGTTAATTAATATGGAATTTGAAGGAGACACGGCTGCTGAAATCTTAAATGAACGGATTTCAAAGTCATTGAATGAAACTTTCTACACAGCCAAGCTCCGAATTGTTTTCTCAAGCCGGCCTATCATTCCTGGATGTGTTAAAAATAAGCTTTCGCTTTGGGCCACATCAATGTGTATTTATAAATTTACGTGCTCATGTGGGGTTCGTTATAAAGGCCGAACAAAGCGACCACTTTCCAAACGGATCTCAAAACATTATCCGGCTTGGCTTGCAATAGGAGAATGTAAGACGATCACTAGTTCTATACAGGAGCACTTAGTCGATTTCGAACACACCGCTCCCAATTATTATTCTTTTAAACTGATCTACAGAGTCAAAGGAATTGGACCGAATCAATATTCTATGCATTGCAACTCACGAGCTCAAGCCCAAACTTTGCGTGCAGAAACGACTTGTCCAACCTCTCATCCTTCCTTGGCCTTAATGGGTATGTTTCTGCTTTGTTTCTTCCCCTGCACTTTTATTTGATTACTATCGAATTTCTTAAAATTACTATTTTGCATTTGAAACTCTAATCTGTTATTATTACCTTATACAAGTTTTCTTGAGTATTATTCAGTCTATTATTATGACCTGTGTTTGTCGCTTTTCTTCATATTATCTGACCCATTAACGATTTTCTTCCTTACCCCTTGATTAGTACGTAAACTCATTTGTTATTTATTCTCGAATCCATTTTGGCGATGCAAATTTTTTTCTATCCTCCTATAGACATACATTTCCCATATACCTGTATATACGAATGTACAGCCAGTCAGGAACAACGTAGAACTTCGTACGTACGTACATCAGCTCGAGTTGCCACACCACATTAGCACACAGATGTAGTGGTCGATTCAAATCCCGTAGTGGTAGAGGTAATGAGAGTCTAGGCAGTAATCGGGAAAATTAGTCTGGAGATGTTATTTAAAGAGCATAATCCAGTGAAATAAATTTGGGAAGAGAAAAAAAGAGACCTATAACTGTCGTACTGTAGCAATACTTTGACTCCTAGTATTTAATACGACTTAGTAAGATAATTTTGGCCTTACACCCAAAAGGAAGGAAAATTAACATCTGGAAGTAGGACCTTTAACCTTGTAATCTATTACTGTAAGAGCTAAATAACAGACGTGTTAATTAACGGATGCAAATTAGAAATCTACTAAAACAACTGGCACTTATCATTAAAAAAACAAGGCCAGAAGTAGCAAACTAGTTACCGGTTACAACGAGCGACCTGAACGTACTGACACTTTTTATCAAAACACTTTCAGTGGATCAATATACCGCACACATGCGACTTAGCCAAGGTAATCGAGACAGTCTGTGATATGAGTAATGTAAGCAGTAGACTAGCTGTTAAGCGTGCTGATTAGTGACATTTAAATGAAAAGCAACAAACTTCAAGTAAATATTTATATCAACAACGAAAATTAATTTGCTAGTAATCTTCGGAAACTAAATTACATGCTAACTTTACAATTCATTGCTAATTGCAACACTTAAGGAGATGGCTTTTTCGGTAATCTGAAATCGGCATATAGTTCTTTAAATTTGTCGAATCCAGCCAACACACCAGCGCCGGCGACACCTCGGAGTATGTTTGCACCGGCACCCTTCATGAAAGACATTGGACCTTCATTTTTTAGTATTTCAGTTGCACAGTGAATTGAGCTTTTGTATTTGACAGCTTGGCCTAAAGAAAAATAATGTGACAACTACTTATTACTAACCTGAAGTCATCATCATACGCCGACGGATAGTATCAATCGGATAGGATATCAATCCAGAAGTGACAGTCACGCCATAACCGAGGCAGAAACTGATTGCCACACCTGCATCGGGCCCAAGGAATATCGGTTTCAAAGTATCATACAATCCAAAGTAAAATCCTCTGTATACAATTATACCGACGCACGAGATAACGAAGCCACGGTAGAGACCAGCAATACCATCTGACTTGAACGTTTTACTAGGGGAATATATAAGTTGTATGATTCATCTTACGCATAGACATCAACCAAACCATTGAATTCACGAGTCCCACCCTTTTTGGCAGATTTGTTGTCATTGGCCAGACGAGTTCGAGCGTAGTCCAAAGAATAAACGAACACTAAGGACAGAGCACCTGCGGCACCACCACTGACCACGTTTTTGTAGAAAGCAACCACGTATGGATCATCTTTATTTTGCTTAAACGCTGACTTCACTTTGTCCTTAAATGCAAAGTTCAGAGCTTGGGTAGGGAAGTACCTCAAGCAATTAGGTAAATTTCCACGCCAGAAGGGTAATATACCTAAGATAACAATCAAGAAAGATTAGCTAGTACCTTCCTGCCGGAATGTTCGTACAGTACAGTCGATAACACCGGTGTACGGTTTATCTAAGCGTCCTTGCTTGATCATCTCATCTTGATTTTGCACAAGTAGTTTAACTCGCTCTATCGGAGCAGCCACGGTCTTCGCAATAACTGCAGCAGCACCGCTAAGCAGAAAATTTTCGGCGAAACTCAGTCCTTTAATTTCTTTCCCACCCTCTCCCATAATGACTATAACAAATGTCTCTTGAGGAGATGAGTAGCGACAAAACGACGAACACAGCGGGCCAACACAGCCAAGAGGTTACTAAAACAAAAGTTCCGATATATAAGTCTATGGTTGACCTTGAGTCATAGCATAAACAGTGTAGTGGAAACTGTCCAGCAGGTCAAATGCCAATTTGCGATTTGAGTGATAGTGATTCTAAGTGGCATTAAGTAGCTTAGTTTTGTTGTTATCTACCTGGTAGGGCACCAACCTTCAGATTCAGATTTGTTTAGTAAGGACAAAAGGCCTATTGCCTATGTTATTCATTTTCTAGTATGCTTCTGTGAGTGTCCAGTTTTCTCTTGAAAGAGTCAATTGAAGGTGTGGACACCACTACTTCGGGCAGCAGGTTCCAAGTATTGATAACTCGGTCTGTAAATCTGTATGTCGCGGGTATTTTGTTCGTTCTTGCCTTTTCTACTCGCCCGCTATGTCCCCTGAGATGTTCTGATCTATTGGGAAGAAAAAGAGGGAATTAGTTAGGTCCGAAATGATTTCTCAGTATTCTGTACATCAAAATTAGATCTCCCCTTAGTCTGCGATAGGACAAAGTAAAGAGGTCCAGCTTTTCAAGCCTCTCTTTGTGTGATAAACCCCGGAGTTCCGGAATTGCACGGGTAGCTGCCCTCTGTACTTTTTCTAGTATGTCCGACTCACCTTTCAGACAGGGGCTTGCAGCCTGAACGCAGTTCTCAAGATTAGTCCTCACTAATGATGTGTATACTGTGGGGAACATGGTAGTGTCTAACTTAGTGAATGTCCGTTTTAAACCCCAAGGGGTTCGAGACCTCCCGGCAATGGACCGTCGTCTTGAAATCATGATTCACTGTTTGCTCTAGATCCTTAGGAGACCGGTCTACGGGTAATGGCACATCCCCTATGTTGTAACTATTAACCATTGAATCCCCAAAGTGCACGTAGACACACTTTTCCGCGTTGATAGGCATCAGCCACTCCTTAGACCAGTTTATCATGTTAAGTCTGCCTGAAGAGCACATGCGTCTTTATCTTCAGTTATTACTCGCCAGATTTTTACATCGTCAGCGTACAATAACATTGGAGACTGTACTGTACTTGTAAGATCATTAACGTACATTATAAAAAGTAAAGGACCTAGGACGGAACATTGAGGTACCCCACTAAGTACTGGTCTCCAGATGGAGCACTTGGAACTTATTCTTACTTTCTGTTTACGACCTACTAGGAAATCCTTAATCCATTTTAAAAGAGGTCCGGCAATACCAAGGTTTTTCAACTTTAATAGCAAACTATTAGGTGGGACCTTGTCAAAAACCTCACTGAAATCTATGTAGACAACATTCATTGAGTTTTCGTTGTCTAGCGCATTTATACAGACCTCCCTAGCTTTAAGGAGGTTCGTTGTACAAAATAGACCCTTTCTAAAACCATGTTGTTCCATGTTTAGCAATTTATTGATTTCCATAAGTGCCATCACCGTGTGTGAAGACTAAATCTAAAAGAGAAGAAGAGTTTCTTAAGTCGTATCTTGTGGGATCTCTAATGTGTTGGAATAATGCTAATCCAATCGAGGTGTCTAACAGTTGGCAGTCGAACGACGTTATCAATGACCCTACTTCTGAGTTAACCCAGTTTACATACGATGCATCAAAGTCGCCTACTACGAGGCTTTTACTCTTGTTACACCAGGACTCAAGTTTACTTAGGAGAAAATCATCTGCTACACATTCTGGACTGCGATATACTACAACTAATTCAATATCATGCCTTCAACATTTCAACTTACATCTCACCAGTTCATATGTCCCTGTGCTACTGTCTCAGCTAATCTTATGGTTACGGTACTTTTCGTGAACAGAATAACCTCACCCCTCCCTACGGTTTAATCTATCAGCCCTACTGGTTAAAAAATCAGTCAACTGAATTTCATTATCTAATATTTCCGAGACAGCAATAACGCCCGGTTTTTCTTTATCAACCACTGAATTGAGCTCCGCCATTTTATTTAGTAGGCTGCGAGCATTTGTGTAGCATACCTTTAAGTCTGTGAAGAACTTTCCCTTACCACCCAGAGTGGCTTTGGGATCGTTTTGCTCCGAACTCTTACAATTTGAAAACCCCTAAGGACGAGGTTTCTTTCACCGTTTTGGTGACGCTCATTTATTTCCATTTCTGCAGCTCGCCTCTTAATACGATCAGCTAGGATGAGGTCCTCATGGACGAATATTCCGGATCCAATCAGTTTACGTGAATTACCTAGAATCAGGTTCCTTTCTTCAACCATGGTGAATGTAACCTTCAAGAAGCAGTTTTTCTGAGGACTTTCAGAATCCATCTTTTTTCCTGTTCTATAAAGCTTATAAATAGTAACTCCTGAAACTGTATCTGGGAGTAGTTTACTTATAGAGGATTTAATATGATTGAGATCGTGTTCAAATCTAGCCTTTGGTTCTTTGTCGGAAGACTCTCAACTTATGAAAAATGGCTGATCTCTCAGAGAGATCTGTCCAGTCACGCAGTGTAGTTTTTGCTTCTGATACCCTCTCTTCCAATGACTTGCTGGCCAGCTGTGTTTTGTTTACAGCTTTTTTCTTCTCATTTTCTTCGTACTGAAGTCCATTTGTCACCACTCAGGACAGCCACACCGGAACTATTTGGAACGGTGACAGTCTTATCCGGGTCTTCAATTTCGACTAGAGGCGTATGATTGCCGATGTCAGTATCTAGCGGCACTTCACTCCTCGTTAATATTGATGGAGATTTCACTTTCCCGTCAATCACAGTCAGGTGTTTAGTGGGTCCGGTCGCAGCACTTACTACACTGACACATTCTTCACCGTCAGTGCTCGTGTGATCAGCGCTACATCCATTGTTTTTCTTGCAGGCCAAAGCCAATAGGCTCATAGCCTCCTAAATTAGTAACTTTTTATTTATACAGCAGAACATACAAAGCCAATGTGAGTTAGGCTTCGAGCATCTTTCGTATGCCATAGGACTTGGGAGTGTACACAACCTTAGTTCACAAGATAATATTTCTGATTCACGTTTTCGAATTGCAGACAGAACGATTGCGGTATGTGTTATCCATTTGTTGCAAGCTTTAACTGACATCAAATCGTCTTTCAAAAAGAGTCGATTGAATGTCAGGAAGTCACCCCTTGTAGGCTTCAGTAGCTGATTTCTCGATGAAAAAGCGTTTATATCAAATAGATTATGTTCTTCCATGGCTTTTGGAATAATCTTTTATGTCCTCTTAGTTATCTTCAATCCATTAGGAGAAAGCGAAAGTGTGTATAAGGGTCCAAATCATTTCTTCGTATTCTACACATCATACATAAATTATCTCAGATTCCATTAAGGTATTTTAACGAGGTTTGACTTCTCAATTCACATTATACGTGGCAAGATACATGAGACCTGAGTTGGGTAGGTAGCTGTCTTTTGTCATTTTCCCAAGGGATTTGGGTCACGTTTCGAATATGGCCTAGTGACACACTCAATTTTCCAACTTGTACAACGCTAAGGCTGCATAATCCATGGTGGACAAGTATGGATCTAAATTGGTAGAACTCCGTCTTAGTTCGTCAACTATTCAATCCCATGAATGCAACAGATAGGCAGCGACATTTGGTCAAAGAGCCACGATTTGCTATGGCAACTAGTCCACTATGAGATTGTAAGGGTTAATGTAGTTGTAGTTATCTAGGTAGAACAATTCTATGTATATGCGGAAACTTTGACAACGACCAAAATACGAGTCAATAAAATCAAGGTCAGCACGACATGCACGTTTTTATAAAGTAGTTAACATTTTATAATTTCCCATTATCGAGTGACTGTATTCACTCATGTCTTTCTACAAGATTCATTGTGAAGAATAAGCATTTCCTGAAACCATCTTAACCACCGTTTAACTATTTATTTATGAATAGCGTCACATATGATGTGACTGTAGTTTTCAATGTTTCGACAAAGCGTATAAGTTCCGTTTAGTACTTTCTCACGCTATCCACAGTCGTCTGATAACTGTGTGGCCCCTTAAACCGTAACTAGTAGTAGTTTGCCGATTAGACGATATGTTTCAGATAATGATCCATTTCTTCTTTCAAATCCTTCTTAACCGTCTTTCCTAATCCGTGAGGGTGACTGACCTATCTGAGAGGTCTTGTTGTATCAGACTTTCATTTCTTTCATATAATTTTTTACTTTCTTTACTAACATTGAGGCTGCAGACGTGGGACGTTTCTTATGCTCTTGTAATTATTCTTCAGTGTAGAACTTAGTTAAACCAACTGAAACTTAAATAAAATTAATATATTTGTAATATCCTGATTAGTAGAAAAAATAACTCTACTAATTTCTTACAAATATATTACTTCTATTTATAATAATTTACCTGATGCTTAGTTTGTTTAGAATTATCGAGTCAAGTTTTGATAGTGGTACCTACGATCCTTCAGATGTTCGATTTTAGTCGACATAATGAGCTCACTAATTCTGTTCTGTTAATAGTTTTTTATTGACTGGAATTAGTTCTAATTATCTAACCACCTAACTTACGCAGTCTGCATTGAATCGGACTATTTTACATATCCCTAGGCTGACCCGCCCCAACTTGATATCCAGGCAATCTGGTTTCGTTGGTACCCATAAAGAATAGATAAATCCCTGACAGTTGTATGTACCTCGATGCAAAAAAGACCAAAATGTAGTAGATGGGTTGGTGCCACGATGTTTCAAACTGATACAAGTTTCACGTGTTCTATGGCCCCAGCTGTCTCGGTTGCTGCACTGTATGCCGCCGTCAACCTGAAAATGAAAAGTTGTCTTCTGTAAGGATAGTTTGACACTAACGTTATTGTGAGAAAATGTTCATGACTGGAGAGCAGAAAAACGTTTATTTAAGAGCAACCGGGAAGCAAAATGAAGGTGAGAAGCTTTTGCAGCAGAAAGAGTACTGTGAAAATCTCCCCAAAGCA